TTTTTAGAATGTTGAAAATTCCGAAAGGATTTGTTGATTTTTTTTTTAGAGGGGGAAGGGGGGTGGAAGAAATACGTGACAGTTTGTGACAGGAAGGTTGAAAATTGAAAAAAATAGCGTGACATACTTTATAGACGACCCCTAAACCAAATTTAATGTCAACAAATTATTTTTATCTTGTACGAGTTTTTGAGTTATGAATTAGTGTTCTGCTTTTTAAGTAGCTTCATTTTTTCTCTTCGTTTTAAGTTGTACTTCATCAAACGAGATTAAATCAATTTTCTTTTCTTATTATTTTTATCATTAGGGTTAGGTGGGGCAAGAAGCCCACCATAAGCAATTTCGTCTTTTTTTTACTGATCCAATAAACGTTTCTAGAAATTTATGTTACCATTATTTCAGATACATAATAAACTTAAGTATCTAAAGTTATTTTCTTAATGGCTACTCAAGTTTTAATGGAAATATGCTTTTTATAAACTGCTATAGAGTGGGTATTTTGCCCCATTGCTGGGGCAAAACGCCCCTACCCTGGGCCTTTTACCCCAAACGTTAATAGCTTGAAATATTCCTTTTTTACAATAAAAATTTATTGCAACAATACACTTTTTACTAGTCACAATATATTTGTGTGTAAAAATGTCCAACAAAAGTTTTAATAGAACACTTAGCACCATAATATTAGCAAGTAGCACCATATATGCTATCATATGACAATGGCAAACAGCACCGTAAAATTAATAGAGCTAAAAAGAGCTAAAAATTTATAGACTAAAAAGATAGCTATAAAAACTAATTTATAGAGCTGAAAAACACAGCTAAAAGCTAATTCATAGAGCTTAAAAGTTGCTAAAAAAACTAATTCATAGAGCTAAAAAGATATCTAAAAAAATAATTCATAACCCAAAAAGACAGCTAAAAAACTAATTCATACAGCTAAAAAGACAGCTAAAAAACTACAGTAAGACTAGTTGAATTGATTATGTCTATTGGCAGTGAAAGCAGACAGCAGTGTCATCAGGACCACAGCCGTTGTGGTACCAATTGAGACATTCTGGGCATTGCTGCCAGTCATCAATGGGTGGTTCGTTAAATCTTTTACCACACATGCAACATGGCGTATCATTACTGTTAGTAACAGAAACTACACATCTTCGTTCTTTTGACCCTTTTTTTATCACGTTAGCATTCGATGCGTTACTTTTGATTGTCCTTTTTAATTTTGTTCTCGCATATTGCTTCCTTTTCCCGGTTTCTTTGTCATCTCCACTTTTCGTTCTCTTGGATTTGTCTGCGATTACATCGATTTCGTCTTCATCATTTTCCTCATTATTATTTTCAACTACTACTTGCTTGTTCTGTTTTGTCTTCTTTGCATTTGCTTCAACTAACATTGCTTTATAAGGACTAGAAGTTATTACAGTTGCTGCTTCGGTTTTTCGTTTGCGACTGCGTACATTCTTTATCCTTGGAATAGGGCTTAGTTCTGATATAATCTGCAATGCTTCGGATAAACCAGGATGATCAGCTGTTTTATCTAGTTGATTTTCATCGGACTCATTGCTATCTCCTGTTGCAATCCTATCAGTCTCCATCACATTAACCGGTGCTTCATCATCCACCGCATTGCCGGCTTTTTCATTTGTATTCGTAGGTTCACTTGTTTCGTTTCTAGCTAATAATGCTCTTTCCATCATTTGGATGTGTTTAACAAGATCTTGTTCAATTTCAATAGAAAAAGTATTCACATGATTTCCTAATTTATTGCTCCCAACTTGTCTTACTTTGCCCTGCAAATGCCTTCTCAATGTCTTCCTTGAAACTCCAAAACTGTTTTCAGCTTTACGCAAAGACATACCATTTTTTATGAATCTAAAGCCCGTTGTAAACCTTCTGCTCCATAACTTCCTCTTTTTGTCTTCCTTTTGTAATTTCTAACCATATCTATAAATAAAATAAAGTTAAAATTTGAACATTCTACTTAAATAATGCAAGGGGTAAAAAGCTCAGGATGGGCCTTTTGCCCCATTAACAAACTGGGCTTTTTGCCCCAAAATGGTCGGTGCAAAAATTGATAAAAACATATTATTCTATGGTACAATGAACGTTATGTAAATAATCAATACATAATTTGTACGCTTATAAGTACATAAACTCATTTAAATAATCAACTAAGTTTAACAATAATCTACAAAAAATTTTTAAAATTACGCAAAAAATCAAAATTTCCTATTCTTATTACCTGTCAAGTCTTCAATATTCTGTTAAAAATTATATTTCTACTAAAAGTTCACCAAAATTCGCTCGCAACACTGTTACACATTTATCATTTTATACTACAAAACAATAATTATAATATTTTACTTAGGTTCTTTATAACTGCAGGATGGGCCTTTTACCCCACCTGGGCCTCTTGCCCCACCCTACCCTATCTTCACTGTTTCTTATCATTTTGTATAAATTAATATATTGCGCCTTTGTACGTTACTTTTTGTACGTT